CGTTTGGAATATTTTGATAGACGTCGCAATTTTATTTTAACATCCCATCAAAATTATATGAAGTTGGGTTACGGGCACAGTTTGAAAAAATTGGTTGTTTTGAAAGGTTGTCCACGAATCATCGCTTACCTTGAGTTTGAGCACAGCAGTCTTCTCCTCTGAGAGTGTCTTGTAGTATCTGCTCATCTTCCCGATGGCCCTGAACTTGTTCAGCGTCTTCTCCTTCTTCATCGCTCTCCCCTCCCCCTCCCCCCCTCCCCCTCCCCATCCTCTTCCTCGTCTGACTCATCCAACTCCTGCTGGCTGCAGATCGAAGTCACCATGTCTGGGAAGATTGAAACTATGGTTCAATCGGAATTTTTGAAGTTCTATTTATAAAGCTTCTACGTATAATGTTTTAGAATCTGATTAACCGAAGTTTCAGCGCAAAAAAAGGATGAGAAAATCTAACATAAAAAATTGTAAGGTTTGAAAATTGTAATGAAAAAATTTCTAGAAACCGCTGAAAAATTTGTCCTCAACTTGGTAAAACAAGCGTCGTACCCTTGAATTAATGCCAATTTTCCATTATGTTCAATTCCATAGAAACTTTTGAAACAGCAAGCAGCGAATCAAGCCAGATGACTCACAAAGCATGTCTGTGATTTTCTCGCCCACAAAAGGGAGTGACCAAGTGAAGGCGTCCATGAAGTTGGGCAGCCAGTAGGGGTGGGGCGTGGCCTTGTAGGTCTTGACGTTGACAGTGCTGTTGTCGTACTTCAGGATGGCCCCCTTGTTGTTGTACATGTCTAGGTAGTTGGGCGCCGAGAAGAGGGTGAACACGGCCGGGAAGTTAGTCGAGGGTACCTGCAAAAAGGAGATTTAAAATAGAGCTTTAATATATCCAATGGAAATTCACAAATCATTTTTTCTTTCTGCTCCCTTCCAAAAAAGGGTGAAAAATTCCTTTGCAAAATATTACAAGAAAACATAATTTCATCCAACAAAAATGCAAGAATCCAATTTTTTTTGCGGGAACTCTGTAGCAATAGAAAAAAAGCGGTAAACGACACTTTGTAATGAGCGTGAAATAATCATTTTCTGTCCACCATCTAAAAACTGGTGAAATCACATGAGTTATGAGATTCAGTGTTTTGAAAATTCAATCAGTTGAACCCAATTGTAGCGTGCACAATTTCTGATCGAGCCCATCATATATTTTCGATCAAAACGAAGTAGCTTGAAATTTCAAAAAAGTCGACTAGTTGAACCTACAAATTTAGAATTTCACATCCTTCTCATTAAACACAAGTTTTTAGAGAGGAGCTAAAATTGGTCTTAAGCTCATCAAAAATCAGTATAATAAAAGGTACGTGGATAATTTCAACTGATGAAAAAGGATTATGATTAATCCCCATTTTTATAATGATGAGAGAAGTTCAGGCAATTTGGAAGAGAGCACTTCTCATGGAAGAAGGAACTTGGAAGAGGGCACTGAGTTCTTTTCCTATGAAAAAAAACGTAAGTGATCCCTCACTCAAAATCTTTTTAGTGGGCCTTACTTTTTCCTTGCTGAAATTGAATACCAATCATAATCATAGTTACTTGAAATATAAACAAACATCAAAAGTGAAACATGACAAGTTTTTTTGTAGAAAGTATGAAGGTTGATTTAAAAATATTGATCTTCCAATACTGGAATTCCAAGATGCTACTTCAAATTTTAGCCGCTCGTGCAGTAAAATTTGTGGAATCCAGAATATTTGGAAAATTCAAAACAAATAGTACTGAATATGTGTTGTGAATTGCGTTGTCTCTCAATTTTGTAATCAAAATCCACATTTTGTAAGCAAAATCTTCATTTTGTAAGCGAAATGAGCATTGTGTTAGCGAAATTCGCATTTCCTAAACAGGAATAAGCACTTTGCTAGTAGAAATCATTTATATCCCGGGTTGACCTCCGGAGACCAAAAATGCTTATCTTAAATTTCAATAAACTACGATTATGAACAAATGCGCATCAAAAGAAGACGAATAAAAATACAATTTTGCAAAATGATGTAATTTTTTCTCGTTTTGGCTGTGTATCTGTCATACTGCTACTGCAATAGCAGTAATCGCACGATGTAATAATAACCTTCAGTGGTATCTATTATTATTATGATGTGTCCAAGGTCACGCGTTCAGAGACATTGGTACACAGCTGAGAGCTCAAAGTTTGAATCTGCTCTCACTCTCAGAGAAAACTAGACAGAGAAAACAATTAATTCAAGCAACAAGGAATACATTCTTGAATTATCACTAGTTTTCCAACAAGATACCGTATAGGATATCACATGGCGCAGCCAGAAGGACTCACAGCTCAGGATAATCGTACTGATATGGGAATACCCGTATTTTGGGCGTCAGCAAAATTAGACCCACCGTGGCAATTTAAAATCTGGTTCGAGCAATTTCTAATGGCAGTAAATGTAAAAGAAAACGTGAACCCGGAAGTTATGTTGGAGGAACCAAAAGACATCTTAGAAGAACCACCTCCACGACCAAAACGCCACGAGAGGGAGATAATGAAGCTGCGACAATAGCCAGAAATTTTAGAGATAAGCTAGCAAGAGATCGAGTAATGCTGGAAAATGACGAGTGAAGAACACGGGGCCGAAGGGTTGGCCACTATGTTTTTTAAAATGAGGTACAGAAGAAAAATGTATCCAGATTATTCCTCTCTCTAGGGACTGAAGGAAAAAAGAGGTTTTTGCAGAAAAATCTACACGCCGAAATTTCCAAAACGTCGTTCAGGGACATTACAGAGCTAGCAGCGGTCTCGTTTCAAAAAGTAAAGTGCTGACTTATGAAAGATATAAATCGTTCACACGAATGCAAGAATCCGGGGACTCACTGGAGGCATTCCATGCACATTAAATGCTCAAGCAGCCAGATCCGAACTTGGAACACTGGAAAGTGAGATAGTTCGTGACCTATTCATTTCGAAAATGAAAAAAATGATGATGCAGGATACACTGACATTTGAAACGCTAGATCCAAAGGAAGTGTTGAAGAGAGCTATAAAATTCGAACATAGCAAATTGACTACAATGGCAATTCAGAAGACAAATGCAGGAGCAACAGTAGGAACGGGCAACAACTACAACTCTGGGGTGAGATTAAAACAAGAACCAGTGATGGCTGTCAGGAACTCAACAGAAACACAAAAAAAAATCAACAATATAAGAGGAAAGCGAATAAACGACAAAATAACAACAGAAACTCCAATGGGAAAACAAAACCATAAAATAGAATCGGAAGAGCATTTGACAAGGGACATCTAAAAAGCTGCTGTTCGGCACTGGGCAAAACTTGTAAAAACTGCGGAAATCCCAACCAATTTGCAAAAATGTGTAGATCTCAGCAATTGAGTGAAGTCACTGAAGAATCCGAAAGATCAGAAGAAGAACGTGAACTTATAAGAGAAAATTTCGGCTCATGTAGTAGGGTTAAATGGGGAAAAGATAAGAGATCAAAAATTGACTTACTCCGAGACCCAACGTCGAACGGGGTAAAATCACTAAAAGCCATGGTGAGAATAGATAATCAAATCATACAACTGACGGTAGATACCGGAAGTCCAGTCTCTTTCTTAAATTGGGCGATGACAAAAGATATAATCGATAAATCAAACAATGCAAGATTCATTCCGTCCGATGAACTGAACTTGGCTAACCAGTTCGTCGACTACAATAATTAACCAATCTGTGTATTGGGGGCATTAAAGACAAATCTTCGTTCGTCAGGCTGGGAGGTGAAAGGAGCCAATTTTCTGGTGACGGAACGTAAAACCATATGCATAATGGGATTGGACTTACAAGGACAAGTGGGGATCGCCGCCACGCAAAAACCAGCTCCAAGAGAACTGTCCAGGTTTGACGTGCTCATATGCGAGCAGTCAGAAGGCTGGAAAAACAAATTCTTCTATAAATTTAGCGATTTATTTGATAGACAAGGAATCACATTGTAAGTTCAAATTTCAAGTACCCTCTATGTCCGATTCAAGAAAAGGTGAGAAGAATCCTAAATCATATACAGGACAAGGTAGAAAAAGACATTGAAAAACTGTTGACAGAGGGTCATATCACAAATCTGGACAAATGTACAAGTGATTGCTTCATAGCCACAACTGTAATAACAGTAAAAAAAGGACGACTCGCTAAAACTGGCGATGGACGCAAAACCGATAAACAGGCAATTCTTCAAAAATAAGTACCAAATGCCCAATGTAGATGAACTCATAGATGGGGTTAGCTAAATAGTTACAGAAAACAAAGAGGGCACACTTTACTTCAGTGTTAGATTTAAAGTACGCGCATAGCCAGATAAAATTGGCTGCAGACACAGCTAAGCAGTGTAGCTTCAAAATCGTTGGTGGAAAGGCTACCGGGACGTATAGATTGCTTGCAGGGCTCTACGGATAAGCAGACGTGCCAGCCGAATTTCAAAAAATTATGGACAGAACTATTAACTACGCAAAAAACACTTTTTGTTTTTTGGACGACATTCTAATTGTGTCGAAAGGTAGTGAAATAGAACAAGGAAAATTTGTAGAAACAGAACTGAAAAAATTGGATGATGAAAATCTTGCATTAAAGATTTCGAAATACGAATTCTTCAAAAACCAGGTGAACTTGTTGGGACATCACCTTTCGAAGTCAGGGATCAGTCCAAAGTTTGCTAAAACCGAAGCGATACAAAATCTAAATCCACCAAAAATGCTAAAGCAATTAAGATCATTTCTGCGTAGTAATAATCTTATAGCAAAACTCATACCCAACGCGACAAGCTTAACAGAAAAGTGTTTGATGCCATAAAAAACGCAGTAGCGAATATTTCAAAATTAAACTATTATGACGCTAATTGTGAAACAAGAGTTATATGTGACGCAAGCCACAATGGTTTGGGGGCTACATTAGAACAACAAACATATGAAGGATCGTGGGTTCCGATCTCATTTGCATCTAGATACCTAAATATACAAGAAAAAAAATACTCAACAAATGAATTGGAGTTACTTGCAGTTGTTTGAGCAGTTGACAGATACAAATATTACTTTTAAGGTAAAACATTTACCATCGCAACAGATCACAAAGCCCTAACATCAGCCTTAGATGGTAACAAGTCAAATAAAACCGAACAATCCCGATTGACCCGTTGGGTCGATCGATTGTTGCCATATCAAATTAAAATAGTTCACATTCCGGGGAAGGACATGGGGATAGTCGAGTATTTATTGCGTGATTCTTATAACGATCCTTGGCCCCAATCGGAATTAGACAAAAAGTTTGTAGTGGCAACAATAAACTCTTTTCACGAAGCGTTATACTGCATGAGCAGTGGGCTAGAAAGCACTGGGTCGGCTCAACCGGAACGAAAACGTTCTAGAACATTCTAGAAGGAATGTTGCAAAACAGTCATCGCTTAATGGTTGCTATGGCAACCCAAACGGTCAAAAACGAACAAAGCTCGACCGGAACGAAAAACAAATTTCGCGACCGTCCAAACGGCTAAACAGCAGCTCACAAAGAAAACAGTTTCCTCTCAATCCAGCAAACAGTCGTGCCAAGAAACTGCAAAAACAATTTAACAATCAGTCACTAAAATTCAGAAAAAAAACAGACTCAAAAAAGGAGATGTCAGAAAACTTCAATCGTTCATACAACTTGTGGTCGGATACACCACAGGAATGGAGAAATGATGACAGAGAGGAGAGCATTTCGAGCCCGAAGTGGAATCGCTCCCTGTTGAACACAAACAAATTGTCCGAAGAGGAGGACGTTACGTAGACACTGCAACGCACAAGAAAAATAAATCGCTGAGGT